TGTTGTGTTGTTACTTACTACTTTTATTTTTAGTTTAGTTTAATAGTTAATAGTACGCCTCGTTTAGGGTCGGGACCCGAACAGTCGAACTAAAGTCCGACCCCAACTTCTAAAAGATGGCACAACGGGTATTACACTTGACTTGTACATCATGCGGCTGCGAGCGCAACTTCAGCACCTTCAAGATGGTGAATATTCTATTTATCCTTATCCTCATCTCCTATCAATTTACGGTAATAATTTTATTAGTTTTTTTTTAAAGTAAAATATTGTAATATGGAAATGGTATACATACAAGGAAGAGAAATAAACTAGAGCAGAAGAGACTGAACAACCTTGTTTTCATTCAGTACAGTCAAAGGCTGAAGGAGCGTCATCTAGAGCACTTTTAGATTGAAGACCCCATACTTGTGAAAGATATAGATCCAACAAGCGAGTGGACGGTCAAGCCGGATGCCGGGGATGAGCATGTATTCGAGGGAGAGAGCTTGACATGCACCTAAGTGCAAGAGGCGGCTGGTTTGGCATTGAGCTTGGTGAGAGCTACAAGATCCCAAACATAGAGGAAGGGGAAGGAAGCAGCCCTGAAAAAGGGAATGGCGAAGGGGAAGAAGGCACAGGCGAGGAGGAGGAGGACGATCATGGAGGAGGAGCAGGATGTAAACTTAGAGGAGACAAGGGAAGAAGATTTTTATGTGGAGGAGGAGGATGACTCTGATGATGCCATCATCATCAGATTCAAGTGGACTGCATGCTAGACATCGATGTTGTATTCTTAATGATGATGAAGTTCAAGCTCATAATTGAGTTCATCATATTTGTGAGTTGAAGAAGACTTTTTGTAGTTTGTGGCCTTTGTTGGTAGGATATGAGTTCATATGACATTTTGCGAATGACTTTTCAAACTTTTGTGACTTGTGATTGACTTGTGATTTGCCAGATTTAAATGACATCTCGAGTTCATTTTATCTTTTAATGTTGATTTTGAGTTATAATTATTTCATTTAAAGTTTAAAGTTGTAAATGTTTAGGTTTGATTTGTGCTTCCGACATCTTAACATTATATTATGTACAATACTTACTTATTAAATGATAAAACAAACAATTTTATATATAATAAAATATGGGGAGGTGTGAGGGATTCAAATTAAAATAAAAAATAAAAAAATGATCAGCCGCCTTAGTGCCTAGGTGTCCGCCTCTGACTTATTGAACATTGCATATTATCTTAAAATGTGATTCTTTTATCTAAGATTTTCCTAATCATCCATAATCATTCAAAAACAAAATTAGAGCTAAAAAATGCTCCAAATTAGGGACCGATTGTGAATCATTCATTAGAGGACAATTTATCTAGATCTTTCTTTGAGTTTTATAAGAGAGAAAATTTTTTGTGAGATGACATGATACAACAAATGAGTTTGTGCATTGTATTTCTTTTTTATTTATACACAAACCTATAAAAGAATTCCATTTCGTGTAAGTGGCATTGGAGACTATAAAAATAAAAAAATAAAAATAAAAAATTGAGTTAGAAACTATGTCATGCAAGTGTTTATTGTGCACCAAGGAATGCCATTTTGTGAGAACCACTAGCACAACAAGGGGCATAATGTTCATATTTTAAAACGTGGGACGGATTTGAAAAATGGAATGAAAAGGGAAAAATACGGTTAAAAAGTTTTTGGGATGAAATGGTACAAAAATATTTGTTGGGGCTAATTTTTATGGTAAAAAGTCAATAAAAGAAGGAGATAAGAAATGAGAGGGTATGGAGAAATCCTTAGGGATTTCCTTATGCCGCTTGAAAGAAAAACGGAAAAAGGGTCTACCATGAAATAATATGAGAAATTAAGATTCTATACGAAATTTTCCTAAAAATAAATTGAAAAAAAATTAATGTTTGGGAAAAACGAACTAAAAAATGCTAAAAAAAATAAAATATAACTACTATTTTGAAAATGGGAAAACTAACCCCTATTTTGAAATTTTTTTTATTTTAAATAATATTAAAATCTTTACTTACTCCCCAGGAATAGTTGACATTAATTTACATAAGGGATGACCCATGATCCCTTTTCGGCCCCAAAAAGTTTTAGAAAGTGAAACTAATGGTCATCAGACATCACATCTCAATATTCACCTATTTTGAAAAAATAATGAAAATACATACTGCACTATCCTCAAATTTTTTTTGGAACTCTCCTTGTAGGAATTACAATAATTTTTTATTTTTTTTAAAGTCTAATCTGGCCGATTCTTCAATCTTGATCGTCAATCAATCAATCCGACCTTCTTTTTGAGATGGCAGATCCGGATCAACTATCAATGTTTTTAAACGTTGCAAAATAACGAGGATTAATAGGATACTTCCCTTGGGTATAGAAACCTTTCATTGGAGAGACATTGTTTCTTCAGCGATCTCGCTTACAAGAAGTACGTGCAGCGATTTAGACGTACGGGTTATTAACTTCTCGCGGAGTTGTCGAGGCTGCCATTTCCGAAGGGCTCGAGGTCTCCAATCCCCCCAGACCAAACACACAGATAGGAGAGAGATCGTAGAGAGAGCGAGAGAATTTGTAGCAGGGCATCGATACTTCTCTGCGAGTAAACATTATGCTGGAAGCCCCATTTAGAGAGAGAGAGTGTGTGTCCTGCGAGTTCTCCATTGATAGAAGTTTAAGCTGCTGAATATGGAAATGAAGCCTTCTTCCTCTTCCTCCAAATTAATCCACCAAGCCCCGTTGTTCACCCTCATCTCACTGTCATGCTTCACTCTCTGCACCTGAAAACGCAGAACAAAGAAAAATAATGGTAACAACTTCTACAATGTCTACTGTTCTCTTCATTCATCCATCCCATTCTTCTTGTCCTGCTGCTCTCTATATCTTCCCTCCATTCTGTGTCACACCAAGAAGGTGTCGAAATGGGCGTAGATTGACTGTCGTACCTCGAATGACTTCTTCTTCTTCGCCTATCTCTGCAAATGCTCGGTTTAGCTTTATAGTCTTCAATGCTAGTAAGCTTTCGTATTCCATAAATGCGCTATTTTTATTGTTCATTCTCAGTCACCTCCAATTCCCTATTTGAAACTGGTTTTTCTTCTTTGATGATTTGATCCTCCTTTTGTGGGTAATTTAGGAAAAGATGTGGAAGGTAGCATGGTGGCCAGTGGGGGATTGGATAAGATTAATGTAGATAGATTACTTGCAATTGCTGAGGTGTTATGCATCGTTCCTTCTGTTATTATTGCAATTGCATACTCTACGAAATCA